AATATTAATTTTCAATTAATATTTATTAATATTAGTAATATTTAATTTTGTTAATATTTATTTATAATTAACAGTAATAAATAATAATTAATATTTTTTTTTGGGTAAAAGGGACGGAACCCCGGAAAAACTTTATTCAAAAATTAAACAATACAAGCTACGAGGGGCATACCCCAAGAAACAAAAGAACTAAGTGCCTTCCAAGAAAATGTTTAGGAAGGACACTTAAAAGAGGACTAGTTCTAGAAACCCAATTAGAAATAACAAGCCAACAAGCCCAGACGAAGATACAATCCAGAAAATAAATGGAAGAGTAAGCCCAATACAAGAAATTAGGCTTATCCAACCAGCTACCACCAACTTCCGAAACACAAAAAACAGTGCAGCCCTCAATAGACTTCCCCTTCCGGTCCAAATCCACAAGCCCAATCTTGGCAGTGGACCACCAAGAAAAGAATAAGAAGCCCATTCAGAAATTAACTTGAAGCCCAAAAAACTGCCCAACACAAAGTTGGTAAACTCCTTCCAATCCATACCCGCAGGTCCAATAAGAGCAATGGATCTCCAAGAATTAAAACAAGCAGCCCAACTACAAATCATCTTGAAGCCCAAAATGAAACTCATCACATTCAAAGCCCAGCCCATCTCTTTAGACTTAGAAATACCCAAATTGCTCTTGAAAATAACCGAATACACACCGTAACCAGAATCCTCAAACCGAGACTCCACAGACAGCTCTCGTTCATCCAAACCTTCATCGAGAACACAATCCCAACTCGATTGAAGCTTCAAGTAACAGCGCAGACCATTCTCGTCATCATCAGGGATGACCGCTCTCGCTCCCTCCTCCGTCACACACACAATACAGCCTCTAGGGTTCCGATTGGGGTTGAAATTAAACGCAAAAATTCGATCTTTCCACAAAGAAAATGAAGAAAGCTCGCCTATCCCATGATTACACAGATCAGTGAAGGTGAAAGATTCTGATTCTTTGAGGAAGAGAACCGATCTGATCGAATAGCAAAATCGCACGACCTTCAAAATCACACACTTCCCCACATCATCACGAGCACAAAAAAGGCTCTGCCTTTTTAAAGCTAGGTCATGAATTCTCCTTCTTTTATTATAATAGTTAATTGGAATCCAGGAAAGAGGATTCCAAACAACAACATTTCTCCAAAGATCTATCGAAATGAAAAAAGGATTGATTTCCATGAGAAAATAACTATTGCGATGCAGCGTAGGGTAGCTGGTTGGCTGCATCAGTTGAAAACATAGCTGATAGTACCCAAAAGCCAAATTGTATTCTTTGCAGGTGCCATATTCCTAAATTTTGATCCTCCATTCACCAATCTCCACACTAATTCCCAGACCATATCTTAACCCAGCCTCATTCCTCATAGTCATTTCTTTTTTAGACCTGATAGCATCAGACAAACAGAAGTTGTCTACAGAGGTGGGGCTAATTCCAGCAAATGACCATAAGGTATAGAAAATGGACAGATCATTAAGCCAAAACTCCAGTCCTAACCAAATATCCAGATAGCCGATTCTCCCAAACTTCCATAACCCAAAGAAAGAAACCAATTCTAAATGAAAAACAAGAAGCCATTTTCTTTTAGAATTGGTAAAAGCAATATACCTATAACTACCCCTCCCCTTCCATCCCAAATTGTACATGTATCTAAAATCCCCATGCACCAAATAGCTCCTGTTCAGAAATATAAAGATATCCCATTTTGCCAACCACACCTCCAAAATGACCTCTATATAACTACCAAACAAGTTCAAAACATTTCCTATCTCCTCTACCCTGCTCCCCCTTGTACCATCATCCCAAAACCCAAGCCCAAAAATCCCAGAAGTATTATTTACATAGAATCTAATAATCACTCGTGTATCCCTTCCCTCCCCGAAATACCCAGTATTAACCCCAGTGTATCCCAAAGCACCCCCCGAAATGAACCCTTCCCAGAAACTCTCATAACTTTTGACATTAACAAAATTGTCAAAACTCTTACTGAGAATCACACGAAGCCTCTCCAGCTCACTTTTTAAACAGCCATAATTCACGATATCAAGCAACCATATCATAAAGATATTATAGTAATTAAACATCCACCACACTGTGTTAAAATGATTAGACCAACTGAAAGGAGAGAAGCAAAACACACRCACCCAAAGAAAAGTAACCAAAGTCCTTAACAAATGATAAGGGATCAAAATCTTCATCCAACCTTTATTCTTGGAACCAATCCCCACAAACTTCCAGAACCCAAGAAAAGAAATCAAAGCTAAAAGAGAAACAAAAAACYATTCYCTTTCAGGTTTGGAGACTCCAAAAACACTAAGAATACCCACCCCCCTYTCCTGCAAAATGTAAAGCTTTATACCATCCTCCTTATGCACCAGAAATAAGAGAAGCAGTCGATCATACTGAATATCAAGAATCAATAAAAGACTTTTATAAAAGAGTAAWTGATCCCTATATACCAAAWAATTCCTTAACTCATACCAACCTCTACACATGGAATAATTAAAATCCCTATTAACCATCCAAGCCTCCAAAAAAACCTCCTTTTGTCTCCAAAGCAAGACCAACAATAAACCTATCACCTCTACCCTGCTCACCCTTATATCAACATCCCACTCCCCAAACCCCATACYATGACAACCCATATCAGCTAGAAACTTATAATAATTAATATTAATCACGGTTATAATTAAAAAAAACAACAAACTTTCAAACTTTTACTTCAAGTAACGAAGCTAGTTTGTATACATCCAAACATGTACCCAAAAAATAACATAACTTATAAACTAGCTTAGTTTTGCAAAACAATACCTAAATCTGTTATCATCTTGGATGGATTAACAATATACAAACATGGAAAAATCTATTAACAAGGTCATATATGATAATAGACACCAAGGAGATGGTGCCTAGCAGTTGTTGCTAGATGAATGGGGTTGTTTTACCAGTCAATCCTATAATTTCAAAAATATCACCACCCATTAAGTTTTACACCATACATGTGAATCGTGATTGTGCCATCAAAACAAGAAATAAACCATAACACACACACACACACACATATATATATATATATATGTGTGTATATATATATATATATATATCTATTTCCTTCCCTTCCCCCTTTTACCACCATTTTTCCCTAACTTTTTCCCTTTCTTTGGGTTATTCTTCATCAAAGCAGCTTT